CCTAATTAGTACATATTGGCCTGCCTTTCCGTATTCGTATCTCACACTACCTTTTGGGGTGCTGCTGTTCTATGGATGTACCTCAAGCACCAACCTTTCTAACTAGGCGCCTATTATGTACTTCTTGCCCTTATTCGGTTCATAACAACCCCGATACCCACATTTGGACTGTCTCCTTACCCGAATTCTTTATCAATTCATCCCTTACTTCCAGCTGGCAACCCGGAAGGGTCGGTCTGTTCAGGCTTTAAGTATCTGAAGGACACTCTCCTCTTGGTTCATACTTTCAGAGCGTATACCCTTTTCTTCCAGTGCGACAACCCGGCGGTTCGGCTGGTGTGTCCTCCGCCAGTGGACCTGGTCGTTCAGTTCTCCAATCTCGGGCCCAGTTCGAATTTAGCCCTCTTGTGATACCGTCAAAGATCACTACTACCTCCAAATTCGGGACTTGCCAAATGGGTTTTCGGTTATTCCGGTTTCTTAGATTTATTGCGCCAAAGCTTTCATAACTAGATAGTATGACCGAGATTACAGATTCTAGATCCAACCGATAATTAACAACCGTAAACTGTAGCAAAGACTATTTTTCAAAATTCGTCATCTGTGGGATTTGAACTCTAGACCTGCCACTTGGAGAGAGTGACGAAGATTTATATACTATTATACTGTATAAATACTATATATTACTATAGAATAGTATATATAATAATACACAAATATAGATCAATCTCAGGATCTAGTGATTGGATTTTAATAATTTTGGGCTTGTTAAAATATCCTATTTGAGAGGATCATTTTGGTAGTTAAATCATCCAATTTGGTTTAGTAGAAAAAATTTATTTATTATTAAAAAATATATATATTATTATATAAAATTAAAAATAAATACTGAATTTTAATTGGCTAATGGGGTGTCAGGTGGGGGAGGGAGGTCTGGCCTCAGGAAATTTATTAGTAAAAATAAATCAGCTAATTTCTGGAAGCCCCTAATCTTGGCTATAAAGCTTTACTTTAACATTGAGACTCATTTTAAACATATCACCAGGGTCGAGTATCTTCTAAACAGGGTTATCGATCTTATCCTATACTATAGAGATCCAATCCAGATAAATCTGCCACCTATTTATCTGTGTTATTAGATCTGGATATCTATCTGATTATATTGGATATCCAAAAAATTTATCCAGATTATCTAATATATCTGTAACAAATATCAAACAAATATTCAAACAAATAACTAAACAAATAAATATATTTAGAAACCTCCTTGTATATTTTTATACACCTCTTGCATAATTGAGCATAATTGAGCATATTTTATACATAATTATGTAGGATTATGCAAGGGGTGCATGAAAATATACAAGGGGTTTCCAAATAATACTCCACATAATACTGCATTTCTTGTATAAACAATTTGAATAATCTATTGAATAACCAAATATCTATCAATTAATTTATTTTAACTGTTTATCTATAAAAATCAGATATCCAATAAATAAATAGATAAACAGTTAATGGATAGAACCTCTATATAGCACTGTAATAATAAACAAAGCAAACACATGGTTGCATTTTGCTGAGTTCATCCAAATTAGATAAGTGTAAACAATGGCAATCTTTTGAAGAAGGTAAGCTGAAATACCCACTTTTTTGTTGAAATTTTGATGAGGTTGGCAAAATACGAGAGAAAAAAAAACACTTGAAACTACCAAAAGAGTATAGTTTTTCTTTACTAGAATTAACTATCCATCTGAGCCTGTATAGTACTAAGTCTTATCAGTAAGTAATAAACTCTAAACTTGTTAGCAAGTAGTATATGAGAACTACTTCTAAATGACAAGTGCTATGCCTGCAGTTAGTGAGTAATAAACTCTAAGGCTGTTAGCAAGTAGTGTATAAAAACTACCTCTAAATAATAGCTGCTAACTTATAGTTTCTTTTTCTATGTCTTATGTGAGAGTCATCAACTTTATTTTAGTATACTGTTTTTTTTCTAGTAAAAAGTTTTTTAAAAATTGTGATTTAAATGATTATTAGAAAGAGTTGTCATATTAGATGCAAGTTTATGAATATTTGCCACTTAAGTTCATTTATTTGCATTAATTTAGCATATAAGAATAAAGAATATTTATTAATTTGAAAATTTAGACTCATTAATATTTACTATAGTAGTTATAACATGACTATACAATAATGCGTATTATATACAGACTTAAAAATCAATTTCTTATTAAAGACTCTATTTATGAAATTTGAACTGAAAAATTGGAACTTTAACATCTAATTTTATTTGTGTTTAATAGCTTGAAGATTTTGCTAATATATATTAATTTGTGACTTTATCAGGGTAAATTTGATATGTTTTTATTACTTTGGTTTTAAAAAAATATGATAATGACTATAAAGTAATTGTGACTATATAGAGAGTAAATTAATATAAATTTAATTGGTAAATAAAAAAATGTAATTATATTGAGTTTGTAACTATATTGAAAGTGACTATATTGAGGTACAACTATAGTAAAAAATTAATTTTTATATTGAATTTTATATTTCTTATTAAGATTTTTTATAGTTATAATCAAGATGTACTAAAAAAATTAAAGATAATTAGTGAACTTTAAAAGAAATTAGAAATTAATTAAAATTAGTTGATTTGCAAATATATCTATATTATATAATTTTTATATAATAGTATAAAGTAAAAGTTTGAGCTGTCTACAGTATTGATTAGTTAATTACAATAAAAATTTGAACATATAAAATTTAAATTTTATAAAATTTTATATACAATACTACAATAATAAAAATTGTAAGCAAATTTGCCTGCAATTGTTTACTATTTAAAAGATAATAAAATCTTTACTTTTAAATAAAGGTTTAATTTTTATTAATAAATTGCAAAAAGTATAATAATAAAAGTTGTAATCTTTTATATAAGCTATAATATTGGTTTAAGAAATATGATTTAAAACCAATATTTAAAAAGTTTATCAAGAATTTGTAAATAATTTTTTTAATTAAAATTTATTTATAGCTTATAAGTAACTCAAACTTTTTTTTTTATACTATAAAATAGTATAAAAACTAATTTTGTAAAAAAGTAAATTAGAACTAAAAAAGTGCAAAAATGCAGGCAAATTTGCCTGTGTTAGTCTACATATTAAGAAATAAATTAAATAGATTTAAAATAAACTTGTAAATTAAAAACTATTACTAATATATGAGCTAATTTATAAATTGCCAATAACTTTGATATACTGATCTATTTTGAATAATTTTATTACCAAAATGTTTGTCTTGATAAGATAATTCTAATAAATCAAAATCATCAAAATCCAATTACAGAATCCCAAGATAATTAAGAATTTGTATAATGTTACTATTAAATTTTAAAGTAAATACAACTTAATATCAAATAATTTTTGATATATTGGTCTGTTTTGGATGATTTAACTACAGTATTAGTCTTAATGAAATGGCCTAACAAGCCTAAAATCATTAAAATCCAATCACAGAATTTCAAAATTGTTAAAGATCAGTATTATGTAGACTCATATATAAAAACCAATCTATTAAGTAATTGTCTATATAATACTGATCTTTAACAATCTTGAAATCCTGTGATTGGATTTTAATGATTTTAGACTTGTAGAATCATCTCATTGAGACAAACATTTTGGTAGTTAAATTATCCAAAATGGACCAATATATCAAAAATTATTTGATATTAAGTGTATTTATATAGTAACTCTAAAAGTTAATAGTAAAATTATACAAAATCTTAATTATATTGAGATCCTGTAATTGGATTTTGATGATTTTGGATTCATTAGAACTGTCTTATTGAGACCAACATTTTGGTAATAAAATTATTCAAAATGGATCAGTATATCAAAAGTTATTGGCAATTCCATAAATTAGCCCATATGTTTTAATTGATTAATTAATATACTATCTAATTATAAATACTGTCTATATGCATAAAATAATCACTGGCAGATAGTATGCAATTAGACAATATGGGCTGCCGTCAATAGAAATCAGGCAGATCGACATTTTAAAAAAAATCCATACCTCGACTTTCACAGCTCATACCTCGATGAATTTTGAGGCTATCTTGATGATTCAATATTCAAAAGAAAGCTTAGAACTTAATCTTTCTTTCGAATATTAAATTATCAAACTAGCTTCAAAATTCATCGAGATATTGGCTGTAAAAGTTGAGGTATGAATTTTTTTTAAAATGTCAATCTGCCTGCTTCTATTGACGGCAGCTCATATTAACTGTACTTTTTAATCTAATTAGAAACTATAAATTAAAAATTAATTAGTTTTTATAACCCGGCAGGGTCAAAATTTTGTCGGAATCATTACTGTAAGTAGCCGACTTCGGCCGAACTCGGAAACTTATCGACAGCAATTTTTTGAGTTGTCCCAGAATTTATGAAATTTAAAAAAGCCGGCTGGCCGAGTCTTAAAAGTTTCATGTTATGAAAATCGATTAAATTTGTATGGCCCAATCAATAATTTACAAAAATTAGCCAATTACAGTAAAAACTTTGTTAAATATTAAAAATGCTAATGTGTTTGGTAGTTTTATTATTTATGCTTTTTTTTTAATTATCGATAGGACTTTCGATTTTAAAAAAACGACGCTATTTAAAAAAAATTATAAAATTCTATGACACGTTAATGCAAATATTTGAGATTTTTATAAAAATTCGTGAAAAAAGTTATTTTGCACAAGGATTGGTCGGTACAAACTTAATGAAGTAAACTAAGCTTTGATATTCAATGTAAAATACATTCACAAAAATATATTTATTTGTAAAATCCTGAAAGATAGGAGTTTTTCTTTATTTTACAAAAAAAAAAAAAAAAAACGGATCTCTTAACGAGTATTCCATAGATTTGACGGTCTGTGTGATCGGTTCTTCGCATAATACAGACCACACGCTAAATGAGGAAAAAAGGATTCAATACTTACTATCTGATCAGTTGCGCAATGCGCAAAAGGAAAACATCGACTGATAAAATATCATACCGTTGCAGAGTTTTTGGTCAGGTGTTTCACCTGCCCGCCATCCTGGTGTATCAGTGGTCTGGCAGTTAGCACATTTTCCAGCTATTTGAGAACATCAATATGTAAAATTTAGTATATTTATGCGATTGAATAAATGAATATTTTATTCAAAAACCAATAAATACATACCCGGATTATAATTGCATGGCTTTTGACGTACTCTGATAGGGGTCATAACATTGGGTGCACTATCGTGCAAAATAGAGGCAGGAGCTAACGCGCTAATCGTATCATTTTGTTCGACGTTAGGCAAAATCAAAGCTGGTGTAGAACTAATGCTAGCCGAACGTTTTGGTAAAATTTGCTGCTGCGTTAGCGAAAACGACGACGTGGTCGTTTGGTCAGATGTACATGATTGTACTTGTGGGCGAATTTGATCTTGTGTAAATGGTTGTATCCTGGATATTGCATTTGATTGCGATGGGGAAGATGTGCTTGAAGATATCTCAGTCATTGGAACATGCTGGACAAGATTAAAAAGTCGAATGTTGACCTCAGAAACTACATTTAGAGAAGCTTAAATGTTATTTGTTGGAAATAAACTATATCATGGAATACTATAAATCTCATCACATACAAAGTTGTTTTTCTTTTTGTTGTGACTCCAAATTACTAACACCTTGCTTAACTTTGATCAAATCATTTAAGCTCTGAGCATTGAGTTCTAGCATTTTTTGAAAACTTTGCTGATCATTCCCCATCGATTTCGTCATAGATATTATTTCTTGATCGCTAATCAAAAAGTCTAAATCAATCTTATCTTTGTGCCACACATCTAGTTCAGCTTGTTGCTTCTTTATCGCTGAAAGCTGCTTATTTCGTTCAATTTCTTCACTCACATTTACAGGACCAAGCTCGGTTTGAATAATAACCGAGGTATCAATAGGCCTGTTAGAATCTAAATTAGACAATATATGTGATACTTGTCGATCAAGGCTATGAACACCAAAAGTTAAATTATCTATGATCTTATCCGCGTGCACATTCATCTCTTCACCCATATCTGCCACAAATGCTTTAAGACTTTTAGCGTATGCATATCCCTTTTCATCTCCAAATATATTGTAAATATAGTCTTTATCTGCTGGCGTGAAAAAAGGTGGATCAACCCCCAATGTCGCAAATGGACCATAATCTTCAAAGCGAGCTATATATATATAATATTTATTTATTACAGACTCATTAATTGCGTTTAATAAGTAGTGATTATGAAAAAAAAATAATACCTTGACGTTGAGTTTTAGATGATATAACTGTAAGGAGCGGTGTTTCGCCAAAAGGTGGTGGTTGTGGAATTAAAGTAAACGGATCATCTATTTTAAACGAATATTATAAAATATTAACATCTTTGGTTATAAACTTCTAACAAAAGAAAAGTTATGGAAATCAAATAAATGGAATATTACTATGTATGAGCGAACCATCGGGAGCAAATTGTTTAC